TTTCTCACTCATATTCTCCCCCTTCTCCGCGAGATAGCTCTTGATGATGTCAATATACACAGACTAAAAACATCACAACATAGGTCTGCAGAAAATATCCACCACTGACCTTTCTAAGTTCACAGTAATTCCAATACGGTCTGCGGCGCTCCCAATAGTCAGCACTCCACTCGTTTCGCTTCGCCTCGATCAATATCATCAAATCCTGACAATACCAACAACAACAGTTTCCCCATCTACGCCATAGTTATCATAACTAAAGAACGTATTTTCTTCTCAGGAAATTCGAAAAATTTTCTATTTTCCGTCACCTCTCAAGAAAATACTTCTATTAGATATTCCACCCAAGGGAAATTATGGATACGAATATCAATCCTTTCTCTTCCTATTCAACCTCATTAATCAGACTAGAATCATTAAATGCTTATCAATATATATTATAAGTAGTGCTTCAGACTCAAATTTCAACACGGCTCGCAAACGGTGATGGGTGGACACATACTCGAGTGAGATGACCATACGATCAGCGGTTATCTCCCAACTCCCATCGAAGAAACATAGACTGTCATTCCCCTTCAACCACGTCTAACGCCTTACTAAGTATCACCAACACACAAGCTATACCACACCTCTCGCTAATCACAAGTAGCAGTACTCCTACCGAACACCATTCCCCTACGATAGATTCCTTATGTAACCTACTATTACTCTCGGCTCGCTATAGTGCCTCGCAAGCTCTCCATATCCCCGCTTAGTCATGAATTCCTGCCAACACTGCTCCGCGTGCGCCAAAGTCCGTGGCATATCCCACAAGGTATCATCCAAGTCGAAAAGAAGCAGCCGAATTGGTGATGACAAACTAGCCATTATTATTACTACTACTACCAGTGTTGGAATATATATCCGCCTCCCTCAGCTGATCTCAGGTGTTTATATATAAACTAGGGTAGAAGTGTACAGAAACCAACAAGAATTTCCCAAAATTTCCTCGAAATTTTCATATTGTCACCGACACATGTAGTTGACCATGTGCATATTTTCCCCCTACTGCTGACCCCAACCGTCAACAGCCGAATAACACCACAACAGGTCACTCTAATTACAATGATCAAACAGGGCGCCCCAGGGAAGCCCATCTCCTACCAAAACTTCGTTACATCATGATTTTCTCGAGTGCATCCGGCAGCTGCCGAATATCCGATATCATCACGTCCTCCTTCAAGTCGCTCACATCAACCTCCTCCCGGACCTTCCCCGAAAATGTACATACGTTATCACGAGGCCTCCCATCAGCGTTCAACCACACAGTGCGAATGCCAAGCTGTGCTGGTCCGTAAACGTCATTCACAAAATCATCTCCAACAAAAATCTGCCAATGACCTCACCGGGGATCGAACCTGGGTCCACCTACCGTTTCTTCAGCCGTGACACTCGGTGACAACCCCGACTCAGCCATCGCCTTCTGATAAATAGCCGATTCAGGTTTGCTCACCCCCGCCTCTATTGCACTCATGGTGAAGTCAAACAGACCCCTAACACCAGAACGATCATCCCAAACTAACCACCACTCTCTCCAATGTCCCTATTCTCTCACACGCGTCAACTAAGGATAATGTCCGCAGCCCCATGGGAAAATTACTCAGCCCTTGGTACTTGCTCCAGGTCAACATTGCCATTACTACAAGCCCCAAAGACGAGATGCGGCCATCGCTGCCGTACACTGCGAAGGGTCTCGGGAGCATCCTCGAACCATGCCACGTCGGATCGGTGCTTTACCCAAACCTACAAGCAAGAGCTCAGTATA